TACTCTTTTGCGCCTTCTCCCTGGACATTCAGGTGCCTACTGGACACGAAGGACTCTGTGTTCCAGGATGACACTAAATTATTGAATCCTTGAAGTCTGTGGTTTAGAGGACAAAAGTCTTGAGCTGATAAGGAGGTGATTGGATTCATTATAAAGATGGAGGCAAGGCTCGTGCTGAAGGTCAGGTTTCAGTGGCTGTTACCAAGGTTGTGGCCACTGAAAAGAGTGGTTCGTGTTTGTGATCAACCGGGGTCTCTGAACACACCAGAATGCTGTGATGTCCACATACTCTCCTTCCCCAAAACCAAATTTCGTACATTTCTCTAAACAACCAGCCTCTGTGTGAGTTGTTCCCTGCACTGCCAGGCCCCCATCTTCCTAGGCCTAAAGCCTGGAAAAGATTGTCCCTGCTGGGCTTTGAAGGGGAACCAGGCCAGGTTCCCCCTTACCAGTGACTGGGGGATTGGATGTGATGTTTCTCCCTGAAGCAAAAACACCTCTGAGCAGCAGGGGAGGGAGGGGGTGAGATCCTGGGTGGGTGGCCCAGGCCCCAGCAGGCCTGCGGGAGCGGCTGCACCGTCCCAGAACACTGCCAGCGCAGAGAGCCAGATAGAGGAGCCCTTGCTGGCAGCCGGGGAGTCGGGGCCCAGAAAGGGAGTGGGACGGGTCCCAGACACTGAGGGATTGTGTCCCCAGTCTCCGGCACAAGTGCCTGCTGAGGTGCAAAGGGGCCTTCCCTTGGGGTCAGGAGTGGCGTCAGGTTAACTCCAGCTGGGTTTTCCCTTAAAAGTTAGGGTCTCCAGGCCCTCCCTGGAGGCACAGCAGGTTGCAACACAGAACTAAGAAGCTAAAGCCAGTTCCGCATGAGTTGGATCCCTGGGCCGGAGATGACCCACATGGCCTGGCAGACCTCTCCTGACCCACCCGCTGCTCCCCTCAGCAGTGTACTTTGTCAGTCGGCCTGTCCTGCTCCCCACTCTGTCTCTGGTGAATCCTCTCACTGCCCCTGCACCTCTGGCTTGTACCCCAGTTCTGTATGCATAAATAAATAAATCTTAAAAAAAAAAGTTAGGGTCTCCTATTGCAATCCAAAGACACGGATGGATGCCTTGTTCTACTGGGTTGTTTTATGCAGCAGGCAGCTTGGGTCTTTGATAGTCCGTGATGGCAGAAGAGACCTAGATGTGACTGGGGGGATTCAGGAGCAAGGAAGAAGTGTGTTATGGGAAGGTGAATTGACTAGATACATCTTTAAAGACCCTGTTTTGCAAGTTGAATACATCTTTTTTTTTTTTAAAGATTATTTATTTATGCATACAGAACTGGGGTACAGGCTAGAGGTGCAGGGGCGGCAAGAGGCTTCACCAGAGACAGAGTGGGGAGCAGAACAGGCTGACTGGTGAAGTACACTGCTGAGGGGAGCAGCGGGCGGGCCAGGAGAGGTCTGCCACGCCATGTGGTAACCTCCGGGGCAGGCGGGAATCGAACCCATGCGGAAGTGGCCCTAGATTCTCAGTGCTGTGCTTTAACCTGCTGCGCCACCGGGGAGGGCCCTGGATACATCTTTTTTTTAAAAAAGATTTATTCATACAGAGCTGGGGTACAGGCCAGAGGCACAGGGGTGGTGAGAGGATTCACCCCAAGCAAAGTGGGGAGCAGCGGGCAAGACAGGAGAGGTCTGCTGCACTGTGTGGGTCACCTCCCTGGCTAGGGAGCAACTTGCACTGAAGTGGCTGCCACTAGCTTGCAGTGCTGCACTTTAACCCACCAGGGAGGGCCAGTTGGATATATCATGTGTAGGCAAAAGGTGTGGGGGAATATGGGGTATATGTGTGAGAGGCTTCACCAGAGACTTAGTGGGGAGCAGAACAGGCAGACTGACTGAAACACACTGCTGAGGGGAGCAGTGGGTGGGACAGAGAGGTCTGCCATCCCGTGTGGGTCACCTCCCCAGCTGGGACCCAAGGCATTCCTGCAGCAGTGGCTGGCATAGCTTGAGCTCCCAATGAATTTAACTCTTGCACCACCAGGGAGTCCCCAAGGTGGCTACTTCTTCAGTCTGATGCAGAAGTGCCCATTATTTTGGGAAAGCAAGCAAGGGTGGCTGCAGCTATGGGGTGAGGAGACCTGACCCAACCTCTGTTCTTTATTGGACCTCGACTGGGAATGGGGCGGAGGGGTAGTCTAAACTGGTCCTTGGTGACCGCCTAATCAGCTCTTTAACTCTGTCCCAGTTTACTTATTATTATGTAAATACCTTCTTATTTACAGTATTCCCCTCATGTTGTGAGGCGTAGGGCAAATGTTTCAGGGCTTCAAGTCTGGTTTGTTTTGTTTTGTTTTTGCTCTTCTAAAACAAGCAATAGTAATGCTACTTCTACAATCATTTTATCTCTTAAGTTACTAGTCTATGGCAGAATCTCAATGTTTATTCGGAGAATTAAATATTTGATTTTGCATGAAAAGCGTTCAGGGAATGACAAGGAGAACAGCGCGCTGGAGCAGAGAGAACCAGAGAGAGCCTAGGAGGTGAGTGGGCTGTGCCTGCCGGCCTGCAGGTCATGGGGAGAACTTAGGCTGCTTTTCTGAGTCCAGGGGAAGCCACCAGGAGGTCGGAGGACCCTGTAGTTTCCCAGGGGCACTGGCTACTGTGTTCAAAACCCACGGGGAATTGGAGGAGGGAGGAAACAGGGGAGACACTAGGAACTTTAATAATCCGGGGAAGAAATGCTGGTGGCAGAGGGAGTGAGAAGTGGCTGACTTCTGGATCCGCTGTGACAGTAAAGCCTGCAGCGTGACGATCCTGCACAGGACATGAGACTAAAACAAGCCTCAAGGACACGTAGATTCCTTTAGCCTGAGGAACTGGGAAACGGGAGAAAGCACTGTGCTGAGCATAAGAAGTCGCTGCTCCTCTTCTGACACGGGAGGGGAGCTGTCAGGCAGAGCCTGGAAATATGGGTCAGAGTTCAGGGAGGAGACCCAAGCTGAAGGTGAAGGAACAAAAGCTTTTTGTGCAATATCTCCAAAGTTTTCTTGTTTTTATTTGCTAAGGTAAGGAACTGTGACTTGTGTCCAGGAGAGGTAGAGAGATTAGGAATTTCTAGTGCAAGATACTCAAAAGGGAAGAGAAACCCTGGGTTGGTGGTTGGAAAGCTCAAATAAGCCATGTTTCTGGAGAGTGATCGACTTCATCTATGACTGCACATGGGCAGAAAATGCCATTGAATATAATAAAACAGGTAGCATTGGTACATTTAAGAGAAGGTGGTATTCATGGAGTTGGGACTAGGGAAATTGCCTTTTCTTGAGTTCAAGAGACCAGAGGAAGTGAGAAATGGAGAGTGAAGATCTTTTCCAAGGATCTTCATGTAAAAACACCTTAGTGATGCATGTTAGCTGGACAGAGGATGAAGATTGGAGCTATTTCCTTTGAGGGGGGAGGTATAATAGCACCTCCTCTGTATGGTGCTGGATAGCTCGTGCAGCCACACAATGATGGTTGAGGAGGTGCAATGTTCCTGGGAGCGTGAGTGCATATCCCCACTATTGAGGGAAGCGTGATTATATTGATGCTATATTTTCAGTTCCTTCAAGTTCAAATGCAACTAACAGCTGGGGTCATTTTTGTCAAAAGCATAGTGGCTTGGGCCTTCCCTGGTGGTGCAACAAGTTAAAACGCAGTGCGGTGAAGCTATCAGCGGCCACTGCAGCACGAGTTCCATCCCCGCCCAAAGAGTTGACCCACATGGTGACAGGACTCTCCTGGTCGCCCACTGCTCCCCTCAGCACTGAATTTCAGTGGGTCTACCTGTTCTGCTCCCCACTCTCTGTGGTGGGTCCTCTCGCTCCTGCACCTCTGGCCTGTACCCCAGTTCTTTGTGCAGAAATAAATAAATCTTAAAATAAAAGACCATAATGGTTTAACAATGTAGATGACAGCCCACGTTTTCAAGCTTGCTAGAACAACTAAGCAGTTAACTCAAATTTAATGGAAAGTAAAGTAAGCAAGCATAATCAAGAATGATTTTATTACCTTTTAAAAATAGCCATTTGAGATATAATTGGCATATAACTAACTATAAGTTTTAATAGTATAAAATTTGTTTTGATAAACGTATATATCCATGAATCAGAACCACATGGGATAGTGAATGTGTATTGACCTCGAACGTAATAATTGTTCAATATCTTCCTTCACTTGTGAACTCTTTCTTTTGAGTAAAATAAGCTTTGGGACCATCTTCACACAAAGTATAAAGCATTAGTAGTATTTCAACATGTGAAGAGAGTTGGAAACTTCTGGGCTTCCATTATACTTGCCATGTGAAAACCAAACACATTGCCTTTCAGATTTCAGTGTCATCATTGGTAAATGTGGGATTTTTCTAACAGTACACATCAGAACTCCAGTTTCACTATGTGTATCACATAAAAAGCCTGGGTTCCCATCTTGGGTCTTCAGAGTAAATATAATCTGGCTCAGGTCACATCCATTTATACACATGCTCTGATATATCCTGAAGTTAAGAAGCTTAAGTAAAAAGCAGCTAGAACTTTCTGTGGTTGAAACTAAGGGTACCAGATTTTTTTGGATGAAATTGAAATTAATATTTTTCTTGTTTACCAGATTCCCTTAGATACTTTTCCCAGAGAGTGGTGGGGAGAGCACTCATTCCAGAGTGTGTATATTTTCCTCAGTTCCTTATGGCCACCATGGGTTAATGCAGGGTAGGTAAGATTTGGGGTATAGCTGTCAAGAGCAAGTAGCACTTGTCCAACTCAGCTGTGGTCAACAGTGATGGTGAGAGGAGCTAGCTGGCCTCTCTGTATTTGACATCAGGTGCCTCAGAGGGCACCAGGGGCTGCCTTAACTGGCAAAGCGACACTCAGCACTGGAAGCACCAGGAGTCGGATGGCATGTCTGCTTCTCAGCGGAGAGAAACTACAGAAACCAGCTTCCTGCAGAGAACCTGCCACAGTCAGCCCTTCCCGCCAAAATGGAGGTCTCAGCCACCCTGGAAGCCCTGCAGGCAGAGGTCCGCTGCCCCGTCTGCTTGGACTTCCTGACAGACCCGGTCACCATCCCGTGCGGCCACAACTTCTGCCGCTCATGCATCCAGCAGTGCTGGAAGGATCTCCCAGGCAGGTTCCCTTGCCCTGTCTGCCGCCACCCCCAGCAAGAGAGGCACTTCAGCCCCAACTCCCAGCTGGCCAGGATGATCGACTTGGCCAAGCTCCTGCACAGCAGCAGCCAGAGCAGGCAGCAGGAGAACACCCTGTGTGGGCAGCACAACCAGGTGCTGGGCCTCTTCTGTGAGGATGACCTGGAGGTGGTGTGTGGCCTGTGCACCTCTGCCCACCAGGGTCACCTGGTGAGGCCCATGGAGGAGGCTGCCTCCTACCACAGGCAAAGGCTCAGGAGTTACAGGGAGGCCCTGAAGAGGCAGGTTGCTGATGTACAGAAACTGATCACCACACAGGACAAAAAACTGGTGGAGCTGAGAGAGCAGGCAGCACTCCGCCGGTGGAAACTAGCCTCAGAATTTGAGCACCTGAGCCAGTTTGTAGAACATGAGCAGGAGGCAGCCATGTCCAAGCTGGCCGAGGAAGAGAGGGACATTCAGCAGAAACTCAGTGAGAATGTAAACACCTTCACAGAGTATATTTCCACCGTCAAAGGGCTACTCAGGGAGGTGGCAGAGAGGAGCGTGATGTCAGAGGTGAAGCTGCTGAGGGGTGTCAAGAGCCTCCAGGACAGGTGTCAGAGCCTGGAGCCCCCC